AATTTAAGAAAATTGAAATCATATCAAGCATCTTTTCTGACCACAACGCTATGAGATTAGAAATAAATTACAAGAAAAAAAACTGTGAAAACACAAACACATGGAGGCTAAACAATATGTTACTAAACAACCTAATGGATCACTGAAGAAATCAAAGAGAAAATCAAAAACTACCTAGAGGCAAATGAAAACAAAAGCACAATGATCCAACACCTATGGGACACATCAAAAGCAGTTCTAAGAGGGACAATCTTACCTCAGGAAACAAGAAAAATCTCAAATAAACAACCCAACCATACACCTAAAGCAACTAGAGAAAGAAGAAAACCCAAAGTTAATAGAAGGAAAGAAACCATAAAGATCAGAGCAGAAATAAATGAAATAGAGACGAAGAAAACAAAAGGAAAGATCAATGAAACTGAAAGCTGGTTCTTTGAAAAGGTAAACAAAACTGATAAACCTTCGGCCAGACTCATCAAGAAAAAGATGGAGAGGGCTCAAATCAATAAAATTAGAAATGACAAAGGAGAAGTTACAATGGACACTACAGAAATACAAAAGATCATAAGAGACTACTACAAGCAACTATATGCCAATAAAACAGACAACCTAGAAGAAATGGGCAAACTTCTATAAAGGTACAATCTCCCAGGACTGAACCAGGAAGAAATAGAAAATATGAACAGACCAATCACAAGTACTGAAATTGAAACCGTGATTAAAAAAATTCCAACAAACAAAAGGCCAGGACCAGATGGCTTCACAGGCAAATTCTATCAAACATTTCCATAAGAGTTAACACTTATCCTTCTGAAACTCTTCCAAAAAACTGCAGAGGAAGGAACACTCCCAAGTTCATTCTACAAGGCCACCGTCACCGTGATACTAAAACCAGACAAAGATACCACAAAAAAAAGAAAATTACAGGCCAATTATCACTAATGAACATACATGCAAAAAATCCTGAACAAAATACTAGCAAACCAAATCCAACAATACATTAAAAGGATCATACACCATGATCAAGTGGGATTTATCCCAGGGATGCAAGGATTCTTCAATATATGTAAATCAATCAATGTGATACACCACATTAACAAATTGAAGAATAAAAACCATATGAGCATCTCAATAGATGCAGAAAAAGCTTCTGACAAAACTTCTGATAACCCATTTATGATAAAAACTCTCCAGAAAGTGGGCATAGAGGGAACCTACCTCAGCATAATAAAGGCCACATATGACAAACCCACAGCTAACACATTCTCAATGGTGAATAGCTGAAAGCATTTCCTCTAAGATCAGGAATAAGACAAGGATGTCCACTCTCACCACTTTTATTCAACATAGTTTTGGAGGTCCTGGCCACAGCAATCAGAGAAGAATGAATGAATGAATGAATGAATGAATGAATAAATAAATAAATGAATGAATGAATGAATGAATGGAATCCAAATTGGAAAAGAAGTAAAACTGTCACTGTTTGCAGATGACATGACACTATACATAGGGAATCCTAAAGATGCCACCAGAAAACTACCAGAGCTCATCAAGGAATTCGGTGAAGTTGCAGGATACAAAATTCATATACAAAAATCTCTTGCATTACTATACACTAACAACAAAAGATCAGAAAGAGAAATTAACAAAACAATCCCATTTACCCTTGCAACAAAACGAATAAAATATCTAGGGATAAACCTACCTAAGGAGGCAAAAGACCTGTACTCTGAAAACTATAAGACACTGATGAAAGAAACTGAAGATGACACAAACAGAAAGATATACCATGCTCTTGGGTTGGAATAATCAATACTGTCAAAATGACTATACTACCAAAGGCAATCTACAGATTCAATGCAATCCCTATCAAATTACCAATGGCATTTTTCACAGAACCAGAACAATACATTTTAAAATTTATATGGAAACACAAAAGACTCCAAATAGCCAAAGCAATCCTGAAAAAGGAAAACGGATCTGGAAGAATCAGACACCCTGACTTCAGACTATACTACAAAGCTACAGTCATCAAAGCTATATGCTACTGGCACAAAGACAGACTTGTAGATCAAAGGAACAGGATAGAAAGCTCAGAAATAAACCCAAGCACTTATGGTCAATTATTCTATGACAAAGGAGGCAAGACAATACAATCGAGAAAATACAGTCTCTTCAATTAGTGGTGCTGGGAATACTGGACAGCTACATGTAAAAGAATGAAATTAGAACATTTTTTAACACCATATACTAAAATAAACTCAAAATGGATTAAAGACCTAAATGTAAGACCTGATACTATAAAACTCTTAGAGAAAAACATAGGAAGAATACCCTTTGACATAAATCACAGCAATATCTTTGTGGATCCACCTCCTAGAGTAATGAAAATAAAAACAAACAAATGGGACCTAATGAAACTTCAAAGCTTTTGCACAGCAAAGGAAACCATAAACAAAATGAAAAGACAACCCACAAAATGGGAGAAAATATTTGCAACAGACAAGGGATTAGTCTCCAAAATATACAAACAGCTCATGCAGCTCTATATCAAAAAAACAAACAACCCATTCAAAAAATGGGAAGATCTAAACAGACACTTCTCCAAAGATGACATACCAATGGCCATGAAAAGACGCTCAACATCATTAATTATTAGAGACATCAAAACTACAATGAAGTATCACCTCACAACAGTCAGAATGGCCATCATCAAAAAGTCTACAAACAATAACTGCTGGAGAGGGTGTGGTGAAAAGGGAACCCTCTTGCACTGTTGGTGGGAATGTAAATTGGTGCAACCACTATGGAGAACAGTATGGAGGTTCCTTAAAAAACTAAAAATAGAGCCACCATATGATCCAGCAATCCCACTCCTGGGCATATATCTGGAGGAACTCATTCTTCAAAAAGGTACATGCAGCCCAATATTCATTGCAGCACTATTTACAATAGCCAATGCATGGAAGCAACCTAAGCGTCCACTGACAGATGAATGGATCAAGAAGATGTGGCACATATATACAATGGAATATTACTCAGCCATTTAAAAAAATGAAATAATGACATTTACAGCAACACTGATGGACCTAGAAATTATCATACTAAGTGAAGTATGTCAGACAGAGAAAGACAAATTTCATGTATCACTTATATGTGGAATCTAAAAAAATTATACAAATGAACTTATTTACAAAACAGAAACAGACTCACAGACTTAGAGAATGCCCTACAGTTACCAGAGGGGAAAGGTGTGGGGGGAGGGAAAGACTGGAAGGTTGGGATTACCATGCACCCATCACTATGTCTAAAACGGATAACCAACAAGGACCTACTGCATTCATAGCACAGGGGACTCTGCTCAATACTCTGTAATAACCTACATGGGAAGAAAGTCTGGAAAAGAATAGATATGTGTATACGTATAACTGAATCACTTTGCTGTCACCTGAAACTACCTCAACATTGTAAATCAACTGTACTCCAATAAACAATAAATTTTTTTTTTAAACTCAACAGTTTCTTAAAAGATGGCTGCCTCCTACTCCCACCAACAAAGAAAACAGTACTCAGAAATCTGTGGACCCAGTTAGTGGAACCACCATGTCAAATAAGAGGATAAAGCAAGTACCACTAATAACGAGCTAAAGGAAGCAGTCAAGCTATCAACTCCCCATTACAGACCCAAAGGTTCACACAGCAGATGTATGCATGATCTTCAGAAGGCGCTCCAAGGAGAAGATAGTATTTGTTCTCGGCCATTTGGAAAGTACCGCTATCTCTAGCCTATTTCCTTAGAAGTACTGCTATCTCTAGCCTATTTCTTTAGAAGTACTGCTATCTCTAGCCTATTTCTTTAGGAGAATTAATTTCAACTAGAAATCCAAATGGCTTTAATATAAAAAACTGTCCCAGGAATCAGGGATGTGGCTCTGTCCGAGCAGGATAAATTCACAGCTTTCAGCATGTTTCCATCAGCTGTCAACTTTGGAGTAACAGAGCTGTCCACAGGATTCCTAAAACAGCCTGAAAACACTAAGCGAAATAAGACACAAATGAACCTACCTACAAAATAGAAACAGACTCATAGACATGGAGAACAGACTTGTGGTTGCCAAGGGGGTGGGGATTGGGGAGGGGGTGGACTGGGAGGCTGGTGTTAGCAGATGTAAGCTATTACATACAGAATGGATAAACAACAAGGTCCTACTGTACAGTACAGGGAACCATATTCAATATCCTGTGATGAACCATCATGGACAAGAATATAAAAAAGAATGCATATGCATAACTGAGTCACTTTGCTGTACAGCAGAAATTAACACACTATAAATCAACTATACTTAAATTTTTAAAAATTATAAGAAACTGGATTGTCCACCGATTTAATTTATTCAGCGCCTGTAGCAACTGGAGATGATTTTAACATAACCTGGATTTTAATTCGGTGTAAGTCCGAACATCAGTTTTTGACCACAAGTATTCATGTGAGTACTGGCTTCCTGGTAAACTTTTTAGTTAAATATTTTTTCTCTTTTTAACATTAAAACCATAAGCTTTTCTTTTCACACAGACTGTTAAAAAAAGATCTGGAGAGGTGGCCTAATTCATCCTTTGTCAAGATAAGTAATGTTTTCCAAAGATACAAAACTTTTTAACTTAATATACAATAGGCTCCTTAATCTGCGCATTTACTCTTTTACCTAAAAGGATATTTCCCTCAAAAATGGCAATACGGGCTAGAGTATTTTCCAGTTAAATTTATACTAAAAAAAACAATCATTCATTTAATGCAACTAGATATATATACATATTTTTTTAAGGTTGGTGAAGTATATTTCCGTTAATAGAAAACAGAGTTAAGGCAGCCACATCTACATCTGGACTAAAAAGCCCTTTGCTCATTAAAGTTTTCTAGATATATTTTTCACGTTGTTTTTCATTTTCTTTGAACGACAGAAAGGATGCTTATTTCCCCCAAATGGCATTTGCTGACATACTTCAGTTCAGGGAGCCTGCTGAAGATCTCTTTGCGGCTTAGTTCAGAAATCCCATTTCCAAGAAATATTTTTGTTCCATCAAATTCTTTGGCTCCTTTCTTGCATTTGCCTTTAATATCAGAGTACACGGAAACAACATCTCCACCTTTCATAACTAGAGAAAGAAGAAAATCATATCACACTGATCTATCTGTACTTTAGCAGAATAGTGAAAATTCTTTAAGCTTTAAGTTTTCAAGCTTTAAGACTGGGGACGCCTAGGGGCATCAGCAGTGGGCATGAAGCAGACTAACCCCTATCACTGTAACCCCTAATAGAAAACGTAACTTTTTACTTTCAAACGTTTGCCAACAATAAATCGAATTGATGCTTTTTTTTCCCTAGGAAAACAAAGATACAGAAGAGTCTTCACAACATCTGACCTCAGCCGGAAGTCTTTAGCTGAGCAGAAAAGGAAGGATATCTTCTATTTAAATTATTTTTCCCAAACCTAACATTCCCTAAGAGGGTAAATTAAGAATACTAAGATTCATCCCAATATTTAAGATTCTAGCCTCCGAATGTTCCCCTCACAAATGACAGGACAGCAGCCTGAGGTTTTAGGGCAACAGAGTAAAGAATACAAAACAAAATTTCACTGACATCTTACGCTCTATTTATTAGTCCTGATCCTGTAAACATCATCACACACGTCCTCAAAGGGAATAAAAGAAATGGACACAAAACCCATATACGGATGCCTAACTTGTTAGTCCTTATCAGGTATATCTCTCAACCGGCTATACTAAATGCAAAACTTGGAAAATATCTTTATTAAAGTAAATCTGAAATATATCTGAGGATGATTTAATAAATTTTCCATTTGATGATACACATAAATTTTAGTGGCTGTTCTACAGAGAAACCTAAACATTATACTCACATTTTGATGCTGACACAATTCCTGGAACATAGATGTGGGCTCCTCGTAAGACTGCATTGCCACACTGGGCTCCAACAATAACTTCACAGGGCTGTTGTTTTATATTATTCCTAGGGATGCAAGATGAGAGAAAGTGAACAGTGATACACCTCCAACGCCTATCAACCTTTTCAGTGTTTCAATCTGAACCCTAAGTACATAACCTCTTTGGTCTTCACTGTCCCATAGGAATGCCACTAATGAATAAATGAGAAAAAGGTGAAAAAGATAAATACGGAAGAAATAGTTTTATAAAATAATTACAAAGAAGATGGACACTTGAGAAAAAGAAAATAGAAAGAGGATCCTATTGCAAGATAGTAAGTGGCACCAAAAACTGCTTCATCAAATACAACAAACTAGTGAATATAACAAAAAAGAAGCAGACCCACAGATATAGAGACCAAAGTAGTGGCTACCAGTGGGGAGAGGGAAGTGGGGAAGGGCAAGAAAGGAGTAGGGGATTAATAGGTACAAACTATTGTGTATAAAATAAGCTACAAGGATCTATTATATGATACAGGGAATATAGCCAATATTTTTTTCTTTATTGAAGTATAGTTGATTTACAATGTTGAGTTAGTTTCAGGTGTACAGCAAAGTGATCCAGTTTTATATAGATAGATATACAGATATAGATATTTCTTTTTCAGATTCTTTTCCTATATAGGTTATTACAAGATATTGAATATAGTTCACTATGCTATACAGTAGGACCTTGTTGTTACCTATTTTATATGCAGTAGTGTGTATCTGTTCATCCCAAACTCCTGATTTATCCCTCGCCCACCCCCTTTCTCCTTTGGTGACCAAAAATTTGTTTTCTATGTCTCTAAGTCTATTTCCATTTTGTAAATAAATTCATTTGTATCATTTCTTTTTAGATTCCACATGTAAGTGATATCATACGGTATCTGTCTTTCTCTTTCTCACTTACTTCACTTAGTATGATAATCTCTAGGTCCATCCATGTTGCTGCAAATGGCATTCTTTCAGCAAAATAGCCAATGGTATAGCCAATATTTTATAACTATAAATGGAGCATAACCCTTAAAAATTGTGAATCACTATACTGTACACCTGTAACTTATGTTGTACATCAGCTATACCTCAATTTAAAAATAATTAGGCAGGACTGAGGTCACAGGAAATGACACACAGGCTAGAACAGGAAAAGGGACCCCTTGGGGCCCAGCTCTGATGCGTTTCATGTTAGAATGGACATGATCAAGTGTTCCTATTCTAATCGCCCAATGAAGCTTTATGTGGATTAAAATCACAACCCCCAAAGGAAAAAAAAACCTGCTTCATCATTTAACAAGCATTACTGTTTCATAACAGCATTAGGAGAGAAGAGAAATGAAGTCCCTGCCTTCAAAGACTAAAACAAACAACATACGAGGCATTCAAAAGTATTTCTAAAGTGGGAGATTGGTGCACAGTAAGTTATTAATATTCTAAACTAGACAAAGGTAAGTCTTCTTTTCTTCCTTTACTATCCAGCTTTTTTGAGTGCTCTCCAAATTCTCACCTCCCATCCATTCCTCAAATCACTGAAGCCTGGGTCTCACTTCCAACACTCAGAGCGGCCTTTTTCAAAAGTCAGGAGTGCCTATGTGATTACCCCAAACAAACATCTTGAGCACTGCATGTCTGATGGGCTTCCCTGGTTGGCAACATTTCACATGTGCCGTCATAACTCCTTGCTGGGGGAATTAAGTGCGTTTCCTTCCCATGATCTCTAAATGATCAAACCTCGGTAAACTTCTCAGCTTTATCCTCCTTCCTGGTCCCACATGCTCACTGCCCATTCTCTAGCTATCTCTAGAAGAGGTTCATTCCCCCAGGTTCTAAAGCATGCCAAGCAGCTCATCTCACTCTGAATCCTAAACCTTGGCAATTTCATGATCTCAATAATCACAAAAATTACCCACATATTTTTTTTTAATTTTATTGAAGCATATTTGATTTACAATGTTGTGCTAATTTCTGCTGTATAGCAAAGTGATTCAGTTATACACATACATATTCTTTTTCATATTCTTCTCCATTATGGTTTATCAGAGAATACTGAATATCTCACTGTGCTATACAGTAGGACCCTGTTATTTTTCTTTAAACACTTTATCAACACGGCACATTTTTTTTTTATACAGCAGGTTATTAGTCATCCATTTTATACACATCAGTGTATACACGTCAACCCCAATTGCCCAATTCATCACACCACCACCACCACCCCCACCGCTTTCTCCCCTTGGTGTCCATACGTTTGTTCTCTACATCTGTGTCTCAATTTCTGCCCTGCAAACCGGTTCATCTGTACCATTTTTCTAGGTTCCACATACATGCGTTAGTATACGATATTTGTTTTTCTTTCTGACTTACTTCACTCTGTATGACAGTCTCTAGATCCATCCATGTCTCAACAAATAACCCAATTTCGTTCCTTTTTACGGCTGAGTAATATTCCACAACTTCTTTATCCATTGGTCTGTCAATGGGCATTTAGGTTGCTTCCATGACCTGGCTATTGTAAATAGTGCTGCAATGAACATTGGGGTGCATGTGTCTTTTTGAATTATGGTTTTCTCTGGGTATATGCCCAGTAGTGGGATTCCTGGGTCATATGGTAGCTCTACTTTGTTTTTTAAGGCACCTCCATACTGTTCTCCATAGTGGCTGTATCAATTTACATTCCCACCAACAGTGCAAGAGGGCTCCCTTTCTCCACACCCTCTCCAGCATTTGTTGTTTGTAGATTTTCTGATGATGCCCATTCTAACTGGTGTGAGGTGATACCTCATTGTAGTTTTGATTTACATTGCTCTAATAATTAGTGATGTTGAGCAGCTTTTCATGTGCCTCTTGGCCATCTGTATGTCTTCTTTGGAGAAATGTCTATTTAGGTCTTCTCCCATTTTTGGATTGCGTCGTTTGAGCTGCATGAGCTGTTTATATATTTTGGAGATTGATCCTTTGTCCACTGATTCGTTTGCAAATATTTTCTCCCATTCTGAGGGTTGTCTCTGGGTGTTGTTTATGGTTTCCTTTGCTGTGCAAAAGCTTTGAAGTTTCATTAGGTCCCATTTGTTTATTTTTGTTTTTATTTCCATTACTCTAGGAGGTGGATCCAAAAAGATCTTGCTGTGATTTATATCAAAGAGTGTTCTTCCTATGTTTTCAGGACCTTGTTACTAACCCACACGTTCTAATGATTAGCCTTTCCAGACTGATTACCTGCAGGTAGCTATATATACATGTCCCACAGTTATTTCAAACTCAACAAGTCCTGAACAATGTTATGATTCTCTGACCCACTCCTCAAATCCTTGCTAACACCCCAATGCTTTTCATCCTCCTATGTTTCCAGTCTTGAACAAAGTGCCATTATCTATCTGAATAGACAGACTGGAAAGCCTGGCATCATCTGAAATCTCTTCTTCCTAAAACTTCTAACATTCACTGAGTTACCAAGTGATGCCACCTCTAATTCTCTGACAGGTCTTCCGGGCCCATCCCCTGACATCAGACGTGCGTCACCTCTTAACCTGATCACTGAGATAGCTTCCACGTTTTATCTTTGGTCGCTTTCAGATCCTCCTGATGTCTCTGGTGTTCTTTGGTTCCATTCTGAAGTACCTAGATACGGATTTATCTTTACTTTTGGCTTCAGACATTGTATTTCTTAAATCTGACTTTCATCAATTCTGGAAAATTCTTTGTCATTATATTTTTGAATATTGTCTTTCCCCATTATTTCTAATCTATACATCTGGGACTCATTAGAAACGTGTCGTGCCTCTTCATTCTTTTTTCCATGACTCAGTTTCTTACTTTCAACTGCTTTACCTTCTTTACCTGCTGCATTCTGGGTAATTTCCTATGAGTCATCTTCTAGTTCATTAATTCTCTCATCTGTTGGGTCTAAGACTTCAGTTTAGCTCATTGAATGAGTTTTTAATTTTAATGATATTTTTATTTCTAGAAATTCTTTTTCAATTGGTTTTTTCCCTCTTAGGGTCTTTTATGTTTTAGATTCTTCCTTTGTTTTTTTATCATGTCAAGGACACTGATGTTACAGTCTCTACCAGTTAGCTCTATTTGCTACAGTTCTGGGGGAATCTAATCCCTTCAGTTTGTTGTATACACTGGTCCTCACTAGTGGTGGTTTGATTCCTAGTGCACCTTCTAACTGTGAGAAAGGTGCATGGCCTGGGCTGACGGGTGTCACTCCAGAGTGGTTTCAAGCATCCCAGAAACTGGCTTAGGATCCAATTTTTATGTTAATTTCCCAAACTGCAGGTTTCCAGACCACTTGGGTGGTATGAATTTGAATTCCAAGCCCTTATAGGTATGAAACCTCTGAGTTCTGCATCTCAGAGATTTTTTTTCCTCCAACTAAAAACTCCAAGGCAAGAGCGATCCAAATCCTAATTACTGCCTTGTACTGACTGCTGGATGTTTCTCACCTCCTAGCACCAGAATCCTCCTGTTAAAACCAAACACCCCCCCAGGGACTTCCCTGGTGGCACAGTAGTTAAGAATCCACCTGCCAATGCAGGGGACTGCACTGGGTTCAAGCCCTGATCTGGGCCACATGCCACAGAGCAACTAAGCCCGTGCGCCACAACTACTGAGTCTGTGCTCTAGAGCCTGCGAGCCACAACTACTGAGCCCGCATGCCTAGAGCCCATGCTCCACAACAAGAGAAGCCACCGCAATGAGAAGCCCGTGCACCGCAATGAAGAGTAGCTCCCTCTCGCCACAACTAGAGAAAGCCCGTGTGCAGCCAAGGAAGACCCAATGCAGCCAAAAATTAATTAAATTTTTTTAAAAAACCAAAGCCCCTAAATTCAGGGGACCAAGCATTTTCTCCCTCAAATCCCCCAACCCTTAATCTTAGCTCACACACTTACTGCCGTTTCCAGTTACTCTTCATTCTAACCACGGAATATTTCACTTACGTTCTTAATCACTCCACTGTGCATTTTATCACCTATTTTTTAGTCAGTATTCCTAGTCCTATGTAGCAGAAACATCCTCAAGTTATCTAGTTCACCGTATTGCT